TGGTGTGTAAAACTGTGAACAAAGAGATTGTATCACACGAAAAAGGAAGGAAGATCACATATTGACATCAGCAAGACTAGCGATCAAAGAAAAATGGAGGAATTTGCCCAAGCACTTGAGGACACCCTTCCAGGCCTGACTGATGCAAATGCGCCTGAACAATGGGAACATTTCAAGACCATTGTTTATAACACTGTCTTGTCCACATTTGGCAAGAAGACCAAAGAGACAGCAGACTGGTTCGAAGCCCATTCAGAGGAGCTGATGCCAGCCATCGAGGAAAAGAGGAGAGTTTTAGCAGCATACAAAGCCTGTCCTAGTGAGTACAACTCGCATGCTCTTCAAATTGCTCATAGCAAAGTCCAACAGCCTGCCAGGAGATGTTCTAACAATTATTGGCTTCAGCTCATCTCTCAGATATAGATAGCAGCGGACACAGGTAACATCAAGGGAATGTATGATGCTATCAAGCTGCTTTAGGTCCAACACAGAAGAAATCTGCTCCTTTGAAGTATGCTAGAGGTGTGATCATCCAGGACCAAGCACAGCAGATGGAACGCTGGGTGCAGCACTACTCTGAGCTATATTCCAGAGAGATTGTAGTAACCAAAGAGGTATTAAATAAGATTGTGTGCCTGCTTGTCTTGGAAGAGTTGGACAGTGAACCAACCTTAGCAGAAATAAAAGTGGCCTTGGATTCCCTCGCTTCCGGCAAGGCACCTGGTAAGGATAACATCCCTGTTGAAGTGCTGAAGTGCTATAAAGAGATCATCACCACTGAGCTGCATTGTAGGGAAGTTGCTTGCCCTTATTGTGCTGAAGAGACTCCAGGTTCTTACAGACAGAGTCTATCCAGAATCATAGTGTGGATTTCGCGCTAATAGATCCACCATTGACATGGTATTTTCCCTCAGACAATTGCAGGAGAAATGTAGGGAACAATGACAGCCACTCTTTGTGGCCTTCACAGATCTTACAAACGCCTCTAGACACTGTTCCAAGACCTCTATTCAGAGCACATTACCATAGTCTCTCGAGACTGAAGGATGCCTACTGAGCACAATAATCTCTGTAATCATGGCTAGCCTGTTGCAGATGCTACAGGGAAAGAAGTGGGATTCGCTTTTTAGCTTGGTATGCATGAATTCTAGTTGAAATCATGGATATTAGCATATCAGGCACCTTTTTTGTTATGACCCACAGTAAATTTAAAATTAATTAAAACCAAGAGTTGACAATTCTGTGTATGACCATGGCTATACAACTTTGTTATTCACTTCATTTCTATACTACACCTCATTCTCTTAATTAATCCAGTACTACGTCATGATCCAAAGACTATTTTTGGTGTATCAAAAGGTTTAGGCATGCCTAGATAGATGTTTCATTTTTATTTTTTTATTTATTTTATTTTGCAGTCCTCTGTGTAGCATATTAAAATGCTTTCCAATCCTCCTTTGTTTCCTGTGCTTTGCCATGTGGCATGAGATCCTGCTCTTTCAGAAATGAAAGCTTCATTGTATGTATGCAATAAACCTACATGCTGTTATGTGCTGTCAAGTTGGAACTGACTCATAGTGACCCTAACAGGGCTTTCAAAATAAGTGAAATATTGAAGTAGCTTTTTTGTTTACAATTTCACACCCCCAGTGAGTTTCTGTGTCTGAGCAGGGAGGCAAACACAGACCTTGTGAGTCCTAGCCCCTTGCTCTATTCACTGCACCACACTGGGTATCTAAACCCACATAACTTGGTTAAATTCAATTTAGTTTTGACTCCTTGGTTTTTATTATTATTAATTTTTGGCAATATTTATTATTGCACTCTCTCTCTCTCTTTTGCCCATTGCTTTTATTATTTTCATCAACAAGTTTACAAATTAATTATATTGTGAAGATTTGTTTCTTTGTTTGTTTGGTTTTTTTGCAAGTCTTTTTCTTGGCAATTGTACCAAAAGTGCAGGAAAGAATAAAGTGCAGGATAATATTGTGTGATTACTCTCACACAACACCCATTGCACAGTGCCTGTACATTCCTGCTCATTGCAGAAAGGTGAACAAGATGGCCTTCCACTTCCACAAGCAGTTGCTCTTTCTGTGAATGTGCAAAAGTACAATCCCTAACATATCTCTATGTGGCTGCATGGTGGAGATTTACAGCTTGAGGTTCTCATTGTGTGATTAGTTAAAGGTACAATCCACTGCAACTATGTGCACATGGGTATTTATGCTATATGAGCACTGAACAGAATCTTGGCATTGAATTCATCACTTTTCTTAGTTTGTAGCTGGATCCAGGATTCAAGGAGATGTAAAGAAACAAAAGGAGAATATCTTGAATAGCTTTCATCCCATCAGTATATTCAGCAAACTGAACATTCCTATACATATCTATTCAAAAGTAAGTTCCACCCTACTCAGTGGGACTTACTCCCAGGTAAGCACACACAGGATCTCAGTCTGAAAGAATGTTCTTCATTTCCATCATGCATATATTCATTCAAAAATGAGTTCTTACACGTGCTCAACTCAAGATGGGCTTTTCTTTACATATTCTCATTAGCTTCCTCTTTACTTCATTGCCCTTCATTCAGCTCGCACGGAGCAGAAATCTAGAAGCTGTTATTCAAATGTGTACATCATCTCCATATTCCATTGAGTGACATGGCTTCAACAAAGCACCAACAATATGCACAGAAAAATGCTCCAGAGCTGTAAGGAATCCATTCGCCTCCAGAAGAGTGTTGTAATACAGACTAATAACCTCACATCCGAATCTCAACAAGAAATCATCTCACTATCCTTCTGTCCAGTAGAAAAAACTTGTCTAGCTTGTAGCCAGCTCAATGGGGCAGCCACAAGTTTGTAGTGGCAGCAGTTTCAGAATTCTATAGGGTTTTGTGTACTGACATAAACACTTGAAACTTATCTCACTAGAAGCAGAAGTGTAATATGTACATAGTACAGTATCCTGGGCAATTAATGGAGCCACCACATTGTACACAGCATTATTACACCTACAGAAACCATAGTGTGATTTGTACTTTCTCTGTAGAATTCATTTTTACAATTTCTGATATTTAAAAATAAATTGAAATTGTGTTTATCCAATGCAAATCTCTTGACGTGACTCTTCACCCTGTTCTGTGTTGTGCAATTCCCACATTGTTTCAAGATGAGGTAGGCATAATTATACTAGAAAGTCAAACAAATGCTAGGGAAAATAGTTAAGTCTTAAATAGTTCATTACACAATACTTGCTTAATTATGCAGTTTAAAACTTTAAAAACCTTACAAAAACCTTAAAAAGCATTTTTTGTGCCCTTCTGGTTGGCCTACAAAGGTAACATCTTTGTATGTAGATCTGGAGTTTGTTTTATACTAACATAGTCAAAATCACTGCTTTTATTTACAGTGTTGTCACTGTAATAATTATCCACACTTAAAAGAACATGTCCATTGTGTTTCTGCATGAGTTAATAGCCCATGCCGAGTTCTTTAGTACAAGAAAGCATGATAAAACTATCCTTTATACAGAAACATAGTGAGGAGCCTCTCCTTTGCTTCCATGGATGGCCTCCTAATTCTACTGCATCGCTGCACTGGGAGTGATGAAATGATTCAATCACACACAAAATGATGAATCAGTGGAAGTTGGTAGAAGAAGACTATCAACCCAGTACACAATTCACAAACATTTAAACTGAAGTACTTGATCAAATGAATTAAAGTAGCTTAAGAGCATTTCAAATATGTTTTCATGGCAGGTAAAGCCTGTCTTATTTTCACGTGGACATGGCTAAATGAGGGCAGAGACAAGCAAGAGAATTTGAAACGAAAACAACATTCTAGCCAAAGGCCACCTGGACTTTAGATTTGAGTCACCAATGTCTGCATTCAGATCCCCAATCAGATCTAGATGATGAAACTTTTTATGCCTGGTGTGGGTAGAAAGGCATGAGACCCGTGTATGTACAATATAGTACTCAGAACTCATTGGATCAGGCAGGATACCCTTGTGGTAGAGGGACAAATAAATTTCTGGGTAAGCATTCCATCAGCATCAGAACTCAAATATTCAGTGCCAGAATAGCTAGCTAGGACAGGAAGCTTGTACATTATAGCACAAGCGATATTCCCAAATAGACACTTACCAGTGTTCATCATCACCTATTCCCAATCTATTTTTCCAGGCATTGCTACAGGGTGTGCACATTCCTCGTTTGCTTTCTCCTCAACCACTCTGCAGCCTTTGCCATTAAAACTTTTCAGGCGAGGCGAATGCTTATTTGAAGATGAGAAAAGAGTGGAGGAACTGACTCCCTTCTTTTTCCCCCCACCAGAAAGGGGGAGGGGCTTGCCATGTGTGGAGGGAGATCGCAACAACCGCCTAGAAAGAAGGCTTGAGCTTCGGCTACCCTGCCAGCTGCAAATGCCACTTGGGGCTGCCGCTTCCTGGCCCGGTTCGGTGGTTTCTCCAAAACAGAACCACGTTCCAGTTCACTAATCAAGGTGAGACTGAGGGGCAGGTTCTGTTTGGATAAGGAGACAATTCGTTACTCCTTATGCACAGGCTTACACGCAAACGCCATGTAGTCGTTACAGCGTTCATTAATTTTCCAAGGCGCTGTTGTTGTTTTCCGCACGCACAGGTACCCGGCCAGGCTCCCTCCCTCCTCGGCAGACCCACCGCCCGCGCCAGTCCCACCAGCTCAAGCTGCCTTCCTCCTTCCTCCTCTCCACCGCCTCCAGCCGCCTCAAGCGCAGGACCTCACCGGGCTCTTTCTGGAGCATCTTGGTGCAGTGGGCAGTCTGGAGGTCCCCCCGAAGTTCCCTCAAAGCAGCCACCCGCCACCTCGACCCAAACCAGCCAACCACCGGTCCTGGCTTTCTGTGCTGGCGGCGAGGCGGACACTGACAGACACCACGAGCGCCTTGGGTCCCAAACGCTGCCCAAAAGGCAGGGGTCGCCCAGCTAGAACAAGAAAGGACAACACGTACCTTTTGGCTGTGGCCGTCGGTTCGCCTCACGGTTGCGCCTTCCCCAGGCAAAGCATGAAAGAGGGAGGAAGAGAGGGAGTGCGCTGAACCCCTCCTCTGGCTGTTCTTGTCCAGCCCGTCCTTCTTCCCCTCTCAGTCCTCAGGCTTTCACCCGGCTGGCAGTGGAACCATCGCTCCCCCTCTCCCCTCTAGCCCCCTTCGGCCTTTATCCCAGCCAGTCAGTTCCGCGTCAGCGCCGTCTGCAGGGACAGAGAGCGAGCGCGCGAGCGAGTGAGAGAGCCTTCAGGACGGCGGGCGGGCGCGAGGGCGAGCGCGCGAGGCTTGCGAACACCACCACCAGCAATAGCAGCAGCAGGAGGAGGCGTGAAATGCTGCAGCTCCAGCTCTGTCTTGTTACCTGTGCATCTACGGCACTCGCTGCTGGGAACGCGGGAAGCGCCTGTCGGCCAAAAGCGTGGCGCTCGAGCCTTTTTTGGTTTCTGCCACACGGAAGCAGCGACTTGAGGCTTCCGAGTTCCCGCCTTTACCGAGGCATCTTCGGCCAGAGGCATCTGCCCGAGACGTTTAACATCCCAGGCGTCAGTTATTCTAACTTTTCCCTCCACCCAGAGCCTTCTAGGGGATCATGTGGGTAGCCCAAGTCTGTTGTCAAGGCTCTTGTCTTTTTAGACCTATGTCTTTCCCTCCACCCAGAGCCTTTTAGGGGATCATGTGGGCAGTCCAAGTCTGTTGGTAAGAGAGCAGTCAAGGCTCTTGTCTTTTTAGACCTATGTTTTTTTCCAGGGCAAAATTTAAATACACTGCACAGTATTTATGAGCATATCAAAAGGCGCTTTCTTGAGCTGCTGCACTTTTTCTTTCTTAAAACTTTTTATCTCAAGCAAACCATTAATTAGAGACATTTTCTATAGAAATGTGGTGTTTCCCCTCACAAACACACCCCTCCAGAACCTGCCTATTACAACGGCTGGGCTCAAACTCCGAAGTTGAAGTTTCAGGAATTTGCTATGGTTCTCTTCCTTTCTGGACAAGGAGGGGGGGAAATCCCATAACAGTTTGAAACGCTGTGTGTCAGAGCTGCTTTTAAACCTGAGTACCTATTTCCATCCATCTTGTGGCTGGCATGAGGGCTCACCACGTCAGCACAAACATCTTTGTTGTGTGTGTTGGGTGCCCAAAAGTTAGAAGGGAGGCACTAGAGAATAAGCCTGTTGATGACTGTTCTGGTGGATATCATACTACAGTATTTGAAGCATGGCAAGGGTTGAAGTACCAGTGTCACAACTCATGAGCCTTCTTGTTGCAGAGCTGCCTTGGCAGCAGTAGGCTGAGGGGAGGGAGAATCCCCGTGGGCAGGTGGTGAACCTTCTAGAAAACACCGCAGCAGTCCTGAGGCTGGAAAAGCTTCTGAAATGTCATCTGTACTACGTATATGTAAGGCCAGAAACAGACGTTAAAGATAGCGTCTAAAATAGAATGGGAATGCATTCATGTTTCAGAGAGGAGTTTGAGACAGTGTTTTGGGATTTGTGAAAGCCTACTTCAAGGAGTCCTTAGATCCTAAAGACAAATCAACATAGCAAGCAAATTAATTTGGAGACTCGAGCAGGTGTGGGAAACTCCTGCTCTGGCATTCATGTACTCTTATTAGGGCATGATCCCACCGACAAAAAGAAACACTCTTTTTTAAAGATTTAAAATAAGATGTCTCTGTGATGTAAACAGAAACACAGATTACTTTACCAGGGAAGCATGCATTCTGGTTGGAAAGCAACACCAACTTCTACTTCTGCTCCACCAGAAGGTTGTTTATTTTAGCAGGCATATGAACCCCTGATTTATGTCAATCATTTCTGCACATCTAAACATCTGTCACTGGAAAATGTGACCTTGAGTAACCAACAGAGGTGGTGGGAGAGGCCGCAGGGGCAAGAGCCACAGGGAGGCAAGAAGGAAGGAGGGAGGGGCAGGCACAGGGAGCCTGAGAGGAAGGGGAAGATGTGGCCCATCCAGTGCAGGACTGGAGGAGTGAAGAGCTGTGTTTGGGCAAAAAAAAAAGTATCAGAGGCACAGATCCTCATGGATTCACATGATTTCTACAATAAGATCATCCCCCTCAAAAAAAAATCATAGGCACCATCTCTGCCCACAAACTGGACAGTGGTTTGGGAATGATCCCATGTTAAAATCATGTGGATCCAGGATGATTCATGCTTGCATTCATGTTTTTGCACCACTACAAAGCCCGGCACCCTTCATTTCTGTGATGTCTTCTGTGGGTACAAATGGGAACATCTGGAGCATTCTTTAAGGGGCAGAAGCACCCAAGCTTTCTAACAGAACAAGCAGCTTTGCTCTTTCTCTCCTTCCTTCTTTCCCTCACCTCACCACAGCAGCAGAAGCAAGCAGCCAACATGAAGGCAGGGTATGCAAGCTTCAAATGTAACCATTTAAAAAGTCATTGTAGCTCCCCCTCAACCAAGATACAACACAGTTTTAAAACATATTAAAAGTTTTCTCAGGGGGACACAAACACCAACCCAAATATCATGTGATTTCTAAATTATTCCATTTAGAACTGAGCTTAATTGTGAGGCAAATGGCCTATGTTACTAGTTAAGGATTTTCTCCTTCTAGTCATTCTCTATCTGTAACATGTTTCTGGTTTAAGCCTGTAGTGGCAATGGTGGCATCTACTGTAGGTGCCACGTTCCTGATCACCAAAATGTCCCTTTCATCCTAATCTGTGGGATTTTATATTATCTGATTGTCTAGGGCTTTTCCATACACCGGGCCCATTTACCTTGTGCTGATTTTCACAATCCGCAGAACTAGAATCAGAACAAATAAATGCTTGCCCTGCCTCTGTGACATCAGAAGGCCCCACCCACCAGTCTCAGTTTTTGGCCTGGAAACCTCAGGGAATGGGATGCTACTGACCTGCCAGCCTTCCTGTCCATTAAATCACCACAGGCAGAAGATAAGAAACAGGTAATTATATTTCATTTTCCATAGTCACCACTGCTGGTCATCCAGTCAACATGGGTATAAATAACATGGGTATGAATGTGTAGGATTAAGTGAAGATTGAAGTGCCCTGACACATTTTGCCTTCCAAAGCAAAGAATAAGATGGTGTCCCCTCTTCTTGTTCTGGACATGGTGGTGCTGTGGGCTAAACCGCAGAAGCCTGTGCTGCAGCGTCAGAAGACCAAGCAGTCGTAAGATCAAATCCACACGATGGAGTGAGCGCCCGTCATTTGCCCCAGCTCCCGCCAACCTAGCGGTTCGAAAGCATGCAAAATGCGAGAAGATTAATAGGGAGCACCTCGGTGGGAAGGTAACAGTGTTCCGTGTCTAAGTCGCACTGGCCATGTGACCATGGAAGAGTGTCTTCGGACAAACGCTGGCTCTATGGCTTGGAAACGGGGATGAGCACCGCCTCCTAGAGTTGAACACGACTGGACAAAAATTGTCAAGGGGAACCTTTACCTTTACCTTTACCTTCTTGTCCAGTTATAGAAACTGACTAGACTGGAAGTTGGATCATACTTCAACAGTGGTGATTAGATGGTGTCCTCCACCACATCTAAAGGAAAGTTAGGAGGATTGCTTTGTGAGTTTCCTGTTGAACAAAACAAGCCACAACTGTAGATACCATGTGTCTAGTGGTGCCATTTCAACAGTGAATAGAACTCAGCCTTATTTTTGTTATCTACTTTCCTCTTGATGTGCAGCCCTTTCCCCCACTTCAGGAGGGCCATCTGAATCTGGGAGAGATGTTGAGGGGCGCTGGAGCTTTCAGGAGCAGAATGAAAAAGTCAGCTTCTGTGACCTCACATACAGTGATGCAAAACTGGGTGTAGGCTCAAGAATAACAGCTCAGAGAGAAAATAGTCTCATGTATGTATATAACTATCTTCATTCATTCAAAATAATTTACTTTTAAACACAGTTGGCCAAAGAAAATTTGCTGCCCAGGGTAAAGGACAATGTAGCACCCCCTCATTAGCACACAAACATCATCAACAACAACATCATCATAGAAATGGAGAACTGAAAGGGACAAAATGGATTGTCAAGTCCAGCCCTGGTCGAAGAGGCAGAGTGGGAAATCGAACTCTCAGCCTCTGGTTCTGCAGCCAGAGACCTAAACCAAGGAGCTATCCAGCAGTTAGCATAAGCTAACTGTGTCAGCAGTTGACAATAGGATAGTATTCTCCAGGGACAAGAAGTGTCAGCATTTGAGTCTTACTTCAATGTTGGCAATAGGATAGTATTCTCCAGGGACAAGAAGTGTAGTTCTGCTGATTCTGCCCAGGTAATTGTATTCACATGACGAGTGCCAGGACAGGACTACATAGGGATGGCCCGAGAATAAACTGCATGTCATTTAGAGACCTACCTGTAAAATTAAATTTACTCTTACCTCATCTTTGGTTTAGAAGACTTTTTTTTTCTTTGAAAGATGAAGTTGGGTTTCCACTGCACCAGTTGACCAACAGACATAAGAAACAGATATTTGGTAGTACTACTTTGTTTGCCTATAAATTAATCTCTCTGTCTCCACGTTGTCTGTCTGTCTGTCTCTGTCTCTGTCTCTTTCTCTCTCTCTCTCTCTCTCTCTCTCTCTTTCTCTTTCTCTCTCTCTCTCTCTCTCTCTCACACACACACACACACACACACAGAGAGAGAGAGAGAGAGAGAGAGAGAGAGAGCTATATTTTACGTGAACTTTTGTGGACAAATCTACTTCTTCAGACATGTGGACTTGTCCATGAAAGGGCACATTAAAATATAGCACTTAAATGTAAGGTTCCACAATGTTTTGTCTTCTTTAATTTTAATTTTTCTTGTGTTATTGTCTGATATGCCAGCACAAACTAAAGTAACTAGCCCTTCTAAAACACACCTTTTTCTGGAAGGAATGAGATGCTGCCAACTTGGTCACACCTGTGCAGATAAGGCAAAAATGGCTGATGCACAAAATGGCTTCATAAGTAGAACTGGGGAATCTAAGCCTAAAGTCAATTCATATTTTACTGAAACAATATAGAAACCACCTCCCTGAATAAATCCTGACAAGATGGTTTTTCCATGGAACACAGTTTGCTGGTCCAGGAATTGAATAACTGACCTGCTAGAACAGGTTAGGAGTCTTCCTGGATCATCTTTGTCATTAGGCTTAAGTGACTTTGGAGGT